TAGCAACTCAGTTCTAAGTGGAAAGTCAGGCAAAGATACTCCAAATGAGTCAAGAGTAGAATTTGAAGAGAATTTACAAGCACAACATTCTGCATTATCAGTAGGTGTTAACACTTCAAATTGAGCGAAGAGAGGAGAGATAAAAGTCTTACTCTTATTTAGCACACTATTAAAGATTTGCCAGTTGTCATGAGAACCAAACTTGTTAGAGGCTTCATTCTGTTAGCAAACAAAGACTAAACCCCTTTGAGGACCCGTTTACAATTTATATTTATTATTATTATTATGAGTGGATACAAAGAGGCATCTGTTGTGATTAGAACTATCACACTGGTAAGGCTGGAAAAAGTGATCCCTATGGGCTATAGCAGCTGAACAGGCAGGTGTGAACCAAGAAGATTCTGAGAAGATACAAAAGCATCAATGGTGGCTTTAACCCAAGAAGAAATCTCTGTGGCACAATTCTCAATAGAAATGTCAAGAATATCAATCCAAGGGGCATCTCATGAAATGAATCCCAATCAGTATGCTGGTAACAGAAAGAAGTCTTTAGAATAGGAGGTTACTGTTTATTAGACAACTTTAAAGAAATATCAACAGATACTACAGTGTGATCCAAATTACTGAGAGGACAGTTGCAATGCTCGACAAGAGCTAGAAGAGGATGTAAGAAATTGAGTAAAGAAGCATGTTGATCATAATTATTAGGCAGACTAGTAAGGAAATCCATTATTTGACTGAGAGACTGAACAACATGAAAGTCAGAATACCAGGAACATCAGAATGTTTAAGCCCTTTAACTTGATGAGCATTAAAATTAAACATAAAAATGTTTGCAGATGAATCTAGGGAGAGAGATTTTTATATTGTCAGATATTTTGTCTAATATGTTACATTCCTAAGAAGAAGGCGGGTGATAAAAGAGAAAGAGATAGCTAACAGAGTGCAAAAAAGAAAGTCAAAAGCACATGAAATAATCATCTTGGGACTCAAGACAATATGCACATGTATCCTAGAATCTTTTTGACAAAGAGGAGGAATAGAACAGAGAATTCATTGATAGCGATAGAAAAATTTAAATTAATTTTTAATTGTAACTGTCATAATAAATTATGTTTTAAGGAGAAAAGGGCTAAAATAATTATCACTGTCCATTGTTTATAGCAATACAAACTGATCAGATGTGGCTAAAACTAAAGTTAATGTGGTCTCAAGATTGTCCACCAGAAGTATATCTTGTAATATTAATACTTAATATCTTGTTTTCTTTCTGCTGTGCTTAAAAATAGAATATAAAAAAGTGAGATCTTTATGTAGTTTCAGCCATTATTTAAAGGACGGCTTCAATAAGAAATATACAGATACTAAAAATAAAGTAGAACAAGTGAAGTTACATTGATAACAATCAATTTTATTTAATAAACAACATAAGTTTGTTAGTAGTGTTCAAAGTTGAAAAGTTCTTTTTATATTGTGCATGTCATTATGGAAGTTGCTAATATATGCACAGAGTAAACAGGATGATATAGTAAATGTTTCTGCATAGGAAAATATTCAGTCTTGTGCATGTGTAAAAAGTTTGGTTTGGTTTGTTTTATGGCATATCAACCTCAATTTAATGCAGACAAAATTTTTTATTGCCGGTAATATGTTTTTCTTCAAAGATCTATTTCTGGAAATATTTTTCCTTGAAGAAGTCTATAGCTGGTAATATTTTTTCAAAGAATGTATAGCTGTTTGTATTGTTAGTACATTTTTTTTTAAAGTATTGCTGATGATAATTTTTCCTTCAAAAATTATTGCTGGTAATATTTTTTTTTTATTACAAAGTATTTCTGGTATTAAAACCTATTTTTACACAAGTTTGGGTGTTAACTATTTGCCCATAGCTGGAACCCTAACAGGTGCTACCACCCCAGGTCAGGGTGGACCTGGGAATGCCAGCAATTAAGAGTTGGTTCCACGCTCCTCAAAACCTCCAGAGGCCTTGCTGTTGGACGTAGTTTATCGTCTTACCTAGGACATGGATGTAGTTTATCGTCATACACAGGACGACATGTGTAAGAAGATAGCATCAGTAGATAAGATAACCTTGTGTATGCTTGACAAAGACAATTGAGTGAAGCAGCAATTCAGTAACAAAATGCTCATTATCTGATTAGCACTGATTATTGAATATTTATTTTAAGTAGGGATTCAGAAACACTGAAATATACAAAAATGAATAAATCTGTTTAAATGCATTTATTGTTTATAACTTTGAGAAGAATCATTAACATAGCCAACATTGCTTAGATAATTGAACCTCTTCTACTGTTGTTACACTTGATGAGGTTTGAAAAATGAATCAGCTGAAACAGGTTAACAACAACAAGTATAAGTTTTGTCTGAGCAATCTGGGATATACAGTGTAATCTGAAAAGAAAATCAATCAACTACTGGAAACTGAAGCTGAATTTTGATTTTTATAAGACTAGATCACTTCCAAAAAGGAATTTGATGAATTGTTTTTTGATTGTATGACAATATTTCTCTCTTTTTTGATTGGTGAAACAGATTTATTTAATTTATGATTGGTTAAAAGTGATGATTGATAAATTCCAATTTCTTGTAAGCTCTGGTTGTAATTTTGCATGGCATTTATTCTTGAATTAAAGATATAGTAATATAATAATAGTTATAGCTTTTTTGATCACTAGCCATTTTCTTTGGTAAGAAGAAAGTTATAGTATTTGCTTTTCTGATCAGTAAACACTGATTAGTGTGTGAGACAGATGCACAAGAGAAAGAAACTGAAATATCATTTTATATTTTTGAAAATGTTATAGACAAGCATATGGTTGCAAGAAAGAAATACAACAGCAGAAATAGATTTACGTGATTTATTTCAACAGGAACGTGTGGGTTTGGGACAGCTACCTTGTAGTATAGTTCATAAGCCGGCTTCGGATCTGGGTTGATCTCTCATAGTAGTTTTCACTAGTTGGGTAGCACTCCTCCTGCCGACCACTCAGCCTGACTGTGACAGGTCTCTTCCCTGGCCTCCAGTTGACTGCCTGTCGTACTTCCATGTGACCCCTTTTATGGCGTTTTTTTATGGCTTAACAGGCTCGAAAAACGACGTGAGTATAATTAGGAGGGAAGCATTTTTATTGGTCAAAAAATAGAAACGCTTTAAAATATTATTTTATTTTTCGACCGGAACTCATACGTTATGAACATGCGTAAACGAAGATAATGGTCATTTTGTGATGGGGCCTTGTCCCGTTCACATCCAGCTCTCGCTCTTGAGTATGTTAGTTTATTTGCCTGTAAATCAGCCGAGATATGTCTTATTTTATTTTATAACAAAAAGATATTGGAATTTCATTAGCCTTTGTTAGTAAACTTCATTGTTCCTGATTTCCAATTTAGATCAAGAAAGAAAAATATGATAAAAGATTCAATATGAAGTTGAGGGAAACAAATGCAAAAACTTAAATCTTCACAAAAAGATGGCTGACATTTTCAATATTGCATCCAGAGTCAAAAGTAAAAGTTTCTCAATTCTTTCAACTTTTGTGTATTTCTCATACCTGTTCTTGCAAGCAAGCTGAATCCATGACATAAACATAAGAAAATGCTTCAAAATGGGATCTCCACAGAGGAGAAAAGAGAAACTAACTCCAACATAGGAAATCATGGAACACAGGATCCATTACAGATTGTTGCCAATTGTAATCTTTTCTCAACAGGTGCTGACAGCAGATTTGCAGTGACTTCATGCAAATACTTAAATACACACTGAACTCATGAATATTCATCAACTAATGGTATTATAAGGATTGCAGATGTGCACTTTTTGCATTGCAAATGGTTGCTTACATGCAAAGTGTACAAACTATCATGCTTATTGAGTTTCACTTAATTTGTCACAACACCTTAGATATTCCAGTGTTAAAGGAGACAAACTAAAGCTCATCAAAGCAGAACTGACTGCATTTTCAGTTTATATGAACAGAACATTGTCATTATTATTATTATGCTTATTTTGTTCAGCTTTGATAGATTATTAGTGCTGTCAAAATCGGTTTGGATAATTTGCTAACTTACATAATGAATTTAGTTATTGTTTTAACACTGAAAGAAGTTGTTAATAGTTTGTATTTTTTTAATATTTTTCATTGTTTTTGTTATTTTTGACTTTACAACCACTAAAGTCAGTTTATTTTTTTTGTCTTTAGTTGAAATTTTGTTCGGTGTCGAGTCCATCATTGTCACTAATTTCAGTTTAAGAAAGATATCCAAATTGACTTTCTAAAGTTAATACTCAAACCTAGAAAAACCAATGTCAAATGATGACGACATGTTTATCAAAATATCAATTATCACCTCTGTGGCATGATTGATATTTCAGTCAGGAGTTTAAATTGTAACAAGACAGAATAGGTTCAAGTTACAAATTAATATTGTTGAGCAAAAAATCTGAATAAATTTTTTTGTATTCAGTTATGACATTTGGTAGCCAGTACCATCAGACAATGTCTTGTATGAACACCTGATCACCCACCTTCATCACAGAGACTTAAAGATGGTCTTGTTGACATCTCTACATTTGACCATCATCCACTTCAATTTCATTGCTGTTATCATTGAGGATATTACAGATTCAAAATTCCAAGAAGCTTACAGAGTATGACACATGTGAATAGGGCCAGAGAGAATAGCCTAAATGTGACTATAGCAATCAAGATGAGAATTCTGGTCTGAATAGTAAGGTATATAATAATAATTCTACATCTTAAAAATTCCAGCATAAAAGGAACAGATATATTTGTCAATTTTCTTGAGACCTATCTGTCAAATTGATCAATATCATAGAATCAGTTGTGGATTGCTTGTTAAATCAGTATTTAAGTATTTTAAATTCAAGATCTGATGAATTTTCTTTTTAAGGCCATAATTTTTAATTATCAACCTTGGAATTTTTGAATTAGAAAATATTTCCTTTGATGTTTCAGATTTACCTGCACTGTTTGCCATTATAGACCAGTTTTTGACACTGTTCAGATTTTGGCTCAACATCGACATGGGAAAAAACATCTTGAAAGTAAGTTCATAAGATTTGTATTAATAATATCAAAAAAGAAAACTGCTCAACATTGTTTCAATATAAAGTCATTTTCAAGAGAGTCCTACATCATGTCCCTTTTAACAGATTTGTGAAGTACAAAATCTCCATTTCTGGCTTTGAGATAAAGGTTCATATTTTTACTGTTATAACTCCCTGAAGAAAAACTGTCAAATTTAATTATATAGCTTTACAATTTTGTCAGAATAAAAAATTTGGCAATGTTTAACCTTCATGACCACAAAAAAAAACAATGTCTCAAAAGGATGGTTATTCCCTAGACACAGCTATTACTGTATACACTTTTAACTTTCTCAGCAATATTTATTTACAAGGTTATAAAAATATGTAAACCAAGTGTTATGTATATTGTTACCTACTCACAGGAAGTAGTATGCACTCAATTGCCTCATGGTAATAGCTGTAGTTATTTATAGTCTTTGTGACTTCATATGTAAATGAGTCACTGAAGAGTTTTATCCCCTTATTTTCCCTGGTACTTCTTTTGGGAGCTTGTCTCCTCACTCTCTTCCTCCCTCTCTAAGAGATTGTCTAGATATGGGAGATCATGATCTTTTTCTTTTTTCATAGGAGTGTTCCTCTAATGATTGCTCTTGTTCATCTTCAGAGTCTATATTACTCTCGATTTCACTCTAGTTTGTCTTGACTTGACATGACACTTTCACCTTCATTACTTTCAGGCTTATTATACATTTCTTCATTGCTATCATGTTGCAATCTAACTTGGCCTGCATGCACTAATATCCCATCTCAATTTTTCTCTATTATCAAAGTGTTCTGTCCACTTTGCATTATGAATCTTGTCTCTTGTAGATTAGATTCACTATTCTTTTTATACCACAGTTTTTTATTGGTGGCATAAGACATGGTCAGTGGGGCTCTAATTTGTCTACTCATGATGGAAGATGGGCGTTTTGATCTTCCATCATGTGGTATTGTCCAATAACTGACCAACAATCTAGGAAGAAATGTTTCTATCTTCTGTTTCTGCTGTACACATATTTTGAATCTATTTTTTATAGTTTGCACCATCCTTTCTGCTAATCCAATTGATTGTGGATGGTATGGCAAGGTTTTATATGGTCTGCATCTAATTTTGTCCAACCATTGGCATGGTTCCTCATCACAGAACTCTGGTGCATTATCAGATACTAGCATTTTCAGAATTCCATTTCATGAAAATATGATCCTTGATGCTTGTTTCACGGTCAAACTTCTTCTGTTGCAGACCTGTATTATTTCTGGCCAACCTGAATACAAATCTACCAATATTAATAATAATAATCCCACTCCATTATCATGGGCATGATCCATATGTAATCTGTCCTAAGGTTGGGACTCTTTAGGCCATGCATGTGTTTTTGTCTGTTTAAATTTTTTTCTTTCATTGCACATTTTACACCTTTTTATGTATTCTTCTACATCTGTAGAATAGCCTGGCCACCATGCCTCTAGCCTTAATCTCCTTTGCGTAGACGTTATTCCACAATGAACATCATCATGTATACTTTTTATAATTTTGCTCCTTTGCATTGCTGGCAGAACCACAACATCTTCATTACAAATTACACCCTTTTCTATAGTTAACTTGTGTTTAAACTCTTTGAAACATCTTTCTGCAACATCTTTTCTGAGCAATTATTCTACTTATTATTTTTCACATCAACAATATACTGTTTAATATGGGATCTTGCTTCATATCCTCATCTAATTTTTCTATCAACAAAATATCAGTTTTCACCCAATGTAAGAAAGTATCTACAAATTTTTCCTCCTCTTTCTCACTTTCAGAAGTAAGAAACCTCAATCTTGACAAAGTGTCTATATGTGGAATGGTATTGCCTTTCACATACTCAATATCTAAGTCAAATGCCATTATACTCAATATCTAAGTTAAATGCCTATTATGGCCCATCTTAAAATTCTAGAAGAGGTTAGCTTAGGAAGTTGCTTCCTTGGATTAAATATGAATTTTAAAGGTCTATGGTCAGATCTTAGCAGGAATTTCTTTCCAATCAGAAACTGAAAATTTGTTGTCCATATTATAGCCAATGCTTTTTTCTCAATATTTGAGTAGTTCAGTTTGGCTTTTGACAATTTTCTTGAAAGATACATAATAGGATGACTATCATAATCATTAACTTCTCTTAATTTGAACTCTTCCAGAATTATCCACTTTTTTGCTGTACTATATATATATATATATATATATATATATATATATATATATCCTTTTTACTTGTATTCTATGTATTTATATTTGCTCTTAGCCTCATTGTAGATGACTCTGTTTATTAAAGTCTTTGTCAAGGTATTTCTTTAGTTTTATTTCTTATTACAATTTAATAAACAGAGTAAATTAAAGGATGGACAAATTTTTGAAACCTGAGAGATTAGATGTATCTCCTAACTCACCCTCTGCTACTAAAATCTTCAATAATTGGTATCGGACCATCACTTCATTCCTACAAAAAACTACAGATGTTACTGTACATGATGAACAAGCCAAATTGGATATCTTAATTAATAGCATTTCCTCAGATGTCTATGACCATATTGGTAAGTATGCTACTTTCAAATCTGCTGTAAATCACCTTATAGAATTATATGTGAAACCTGCAAATGAAATCTTTGCCAGACATGTCCTAGTAATGTGAAAAGATAGCAGATAAAAATAAAAGCTACAGTCGGAAATGTTTCCATGGCGTTGTGATCCCTTAATGCTTCAATAAAAGAACAGTGTTTCATCAATTTAAATTTATTACGTATGTGAGAATTGGTCAGAAGCACACACAAATAAAAAAAAAAAAAAATCAATTTCACAATTATCTCTGTTCCTTAATCTCAAGTATGCAACTCCTTGTCAGAAATGACCCTCCTGTTGAATGACCATACTTTTATGTACCTGACCCAGCCATGACCCACCCAAGGACACATGACACAGTGGATAAAGGTGTTAGTTAGATCCAGTGACAGGACCCAAAAAATTGAGTTCAATACCTGGTTAAGGCAGTGGAGAACTTGGAGAGATTAATTAACAGGAGATAACTGATAACTGACATCCATTAGACATAGCATGTGGAACTAGAAGAGTCTACCTCAGCAAGCGAAATAAAAGGTTCAGTTCAACATTCCAACCACCTGAAGAAGGCCAGCGCATACAACGGCCAAAATATTGTGATAAATATGGCAACAAAGATGAGGACAATAGTCCGAATAATGTAAATAGTGTACATAATATCTCATCTCAGAAATATAGACAGATACCAAAAAGAGATTTGTTGTAGATTATAGTAGAACTATTAATAGATTCACCCGACTCGACACTTACCCCTTACTACAAATGGACGATTTGGCTTTGGAAATCTCTAAATATAAAATTTATTCTATGGATTTGAAGAGTGCATATCACCAAGTACCCATTTGAGGAGAAAACAAACTGTACACTGTGTTTGAAGCTAATGGCAAATTATCCCAGTTTTGTCATATTCCATTTGGGGTCACTAACATGATATCTTGTTTCCAAAACATAATGGACAACATTATTACGAGAAATAACTTGCACAGAACATATGCTTACGTATATAACATAGTTGTACCTGGCAAGACTCAAGAGGAGCATAAGAAAAATTTCTCAAGGTATCCAAACTACATAACCTTACTTTCAACAACAAAAAGTCCTCCTGATCAACCACTTCTATTAATTTTCTTGGCGACACAATATCTTATGAGATAGTTAAACCTGATGCTGACTGATTACACTGACTTAAAGAATTACCTATCCCTAAAGATAAAGCTGTCTTTCGTAGGGTCCTTGGTTTGTTTTCTTATTATGGATATCAAGGTTTTCAGATAAGATCAAGACTTTAATTATGGCTGACTCATTCCCTTTAAATCGTGAGTCTATGGAAGCATGCCAAAAGCTTAAAGAAAAAATCGAAAGTGCCTTACTTCACGTTATTGAAGAAAATATCTCCCTAGTAGTTGAGACAGACACTTCTAATATGTCACTGCTTCTGCTTTGAATCAGGCCAGTTGTCCAGTGGATTTCTTCTCATGATCCCTAATGCTGACTGAACAAAAGGATACTTCCATAGAAAAGGAGGTTTCAGCTATTAGAGAAGCTGTAAAAAGGTGGTTTCACTACTTATCTGGTCAACACTTTACCATCATTATGGACCAACAGGCAGTGGACTTAAGGTTTAATAATGAGAGACCTGAAAAAAATTAAAAACGATAAGATCCAGAAATTGAGAATGAAACTGGGGAACTATAAGTATGAAATTGCTTACAGACCAGAGAAGGATAATGTATCTGTTGATACACTCTCACAGGCTCATTGTGACGCTATCCTACACAAAGAAAAGTTATATGAGCTCCACAATCGTCTTTGTCACCCTGGTATAAACAGGTTAGCCCACTTTGTCAAAGTCAGAATCTACCTTACTCTATAGAGGATATAAAAAAAAAAGCATGTGCTGACTAGTCCCATTTGTGCAAGATGGAAACTATGTTTCTACAAACCTGAAAACGTTCACCTGGTAAAGGCTATACAACCAATGGAAAAAATCAGCATTGATTTTAAGGGACTTCTTCCTTCTAACTCACAGAACTGTTATATGCTAATGGTAATAGACAAGTACTCTTGGTTCCCTTTTGCTTTTGCTTGCTCCTATATGACAACTAGTGTAGTAATTAAATGCTTAACTCAGATTTTTCCTCTGTTTGGGACGCCATTTTATGTCCACTCCGATTGGGATTCCTTCTGCGTGAGTACTTCCTTAATTTGGGTATAGCTACAAGTCAAACAACCCCTTACAACTCTACAGGGAACGGTCAGTGTGAACGATACAATGGAATTATCTGGAAGCTCATCACACTGGCCTTGGCTTTGAGAAATCTATGAGAATCTCAGTGGGAATTCGTTCTACTTGTATCACTGCATGCTATAAGATCTT